AGTAAGAACTATGTGGTGATATTTTATAGAACCTCCAAAATGTATTGACTTTGCAAGACATATATCTTAACTTATAAGGCAAGTTTTCAATATATGTGCCACGTAGTTAACTTGTTCTGAAAGCTACCAATACATGTGGTATGTGATTAACTTGTTGATCAAGTTTCTAACCTATCAATCAATTATAAATACATATAAAATCAAAATAGCTTCTAAAAAGATTTTTTAAAAGATATTATGAAATTAATCTCATTTTTACCTACTTCTATTTTATCATATAAATAAATATTAGAGAAAATATATATATCTATGAGAGTAGGTAGAGTGTTGTCTAAAGAAATTTTTATTCTTTTTTCTTTAGCTTCTTTTAAAGATATCTCAATTTTTTCTTTAAATATATTTTTTTTATTATAAATATTTTTCTTGAAAAAGTATCCTCTTTAAGAATTGAAATAAGCTTTATTCTTTTCTCTTAATAACAATCTACTTCTCTTAATTCAAGTGAGTATTCTTCATTCCATCTTCAATAAGTTTGAAATACCTCATATTCTAAATAATATAGTAATAGCTCAAAAATATACCTTATTGAAAATGAAAGTCTTTTAATATATATATATATATATATATATATATATATATATTTTTTTTTCATCCTTATCTAAAACATGAGCTTCCAATTAAGAAAAAAATGCTCTTAATTTGTCTTGAAAAGTGATCTTATACCATATTGCAAAGATTGTCTTTTATCTTCTAAAATATGTCTAAACTTAAGTTTTAAAACCTCATAGTTGTATCTAACATTGAAATAAGTTAAAAGACTTTGATAATATCTACTATTAGCTCAAAGTCTTGAATGTGATTACTATCCAAGTAATTTAGTGAAAAATATCAATAACATCAGCTTTTAATATACATCATAAAACATACTAGTTAAGTCTCTACAATTATCTAAATATTCAAAAGCAACTTGTATCTATAATACTATCAAGCTTTGTAATTTATTAATAATTATCTTTGAATCACTATAGATCAAATAAACCAACAAACAAAAAGATCTTGTTGGCCATTAATCCAATCTCATCTCTATAATATGCTTATTAATATTGACTAGAATAATGCAAAATGAGGTAACATTAAAAATCTCTAAGAATATTATCTACAATTAGGAAAATAAATTCATACTGAATCCTCATTTCTAACAACATAGAAGCAAAAATCACAAGCAAATCAAACAATTTGCAACTGCTTGTAGTTAAAGATTACAAATTAAAATATAAACCAAAGCAGCCACTAATCTTGTGTGATTAATGGTCAAAATCAAAAAACCTATGACAATAAAAATAAATAAAATAAAATAAAAATAAAAATAAAAAATACGATAATATGAAATGTGAAGAAATTAAAAAAATCAAGAATTCACTTAAAAAGGAAATAGTATTGAATAAATACTACTTTAGTGCTTTAAATAATTTATACTTTATAAATTTATAATATTATTAGTTTTTTTAGATATCATCCTCATAAAAAAATAATTTAAAAAATATTTAGATTCCATATGTTCTTAATAATTAAGAGTTGAAGGCAATTTTATTTTTTTATTTTTTTAATATTAAGTCCTATAATTGTGCTACTACCTATGATCTCATTGATTCCATAACTATTCAATTTTAGTTGCTTTGTGGTCCTATGACTATATTAAATTCGTTTATTCATAGATCCTATTGCAACACAAAACTTATTATTATGTTCGCCATATTAACATATCACATAAGATGTCTCCACTTACTGCCATGAACCATCAACTTTCATTGCTTATTACTACAAGGTACTTTTCTTGTGTTTGAATAGCTTGTCAAGTGAATATTATCTCCTAAATGCAAAATATAAATACATTTTGGAGGCAAAGTTAGCATCAAGTTGCAAAAACTATGCCTTATATCAAATGAGTACTATGTCCTACAACTTTATATCTTGTCTTGTATGAAATGACAATTAAAAAAAAAAACAAAAAACAAAAAATATAAAACAAAAAATAATCAAAAATAAGTTAAAATATGACATTTCTAAAAAAATTGGTATTGCAAACAATCTTCTTGCATTGCACAACAATACCTTTGTTTCTACAAAACTTTGAGTTGTAGTTTGCATCAAAATACACCAATAAGTTGAACTGCACTTAATATTGCAATCTATGTCTCTTTAGTATAAAATACTCCTGCAACTATAATTTTGGTCCAACACTTGGCCATTTTTGCTCCAACTCTTTGCATTGCAGCTTGCCTTGATGATAAGATCTAGCACCTAATTCGAAATAGTACCTCAATTTCACATATTTTGTAAAAATATAGTGCCTTGCAACGTATTTTGATCCATATTCAAGAAAAGAGTATTGCGACACATTAGAATTGAGCAATAAAATAATACTCAATAATATAAAAATCCAAAAAAATTAAAATAGTATTTTATTTTTATTTTTATTTTTTAATCTAGTCTATTTCAATCTCCCTTATCACAAGTTGAAGAAAATGAGTCATTCTTGTCAAGTATAAAGATGATGAATTTATACACAAATAAGTGAGATTATCTTTCATATTACAAAAGAAGTATCCAAAAGTGCAAGTGTGAGTAAAGAAATTCTCTATAACTTTATTAAATGGCTAAATCTCCATAGCCAAACAAATCCTTACAATACAAGATTTTTCTCTCTCAAAATCACTCATAAGATTTGACTTGATAAGAATATTAAATCAAAGAAATTTTCCAATCTAATTATTGAAATTTTAATTAAAATTATCAAAATTAATTAATCAAAAAAACCAAATAGGTAGAAAAACCACTAAATCAAACTAAATCACATACATCCAAGGAGATTTGGTATCCATTGCCACCACATAAAATAAAAATAGGTATAGATTGTTATAATTTTGTCTCAAATATAATTTGTAATAATTGTCAAAAAAATAATAGATAATTGTTAATCCTTCATTTATAATCTATAGATTGGGCAGTTAGTGTCATTGGGAGGTGGCATGTAATGGAACTCCAGCAATACAAAAACACAAGGTAGAAGCAATGCATTTGCAAATTGAAAAGGAACAAAAGAATGAAGGGATTCAATAACATGTTTGATTGAAAGGAAGGGGCACCACCCTCAAGCCAAGCCAACTTCATGAAAGAAGGGAGTGAAGGGAAGGAATTGCCTCTTCAAATTAAGTGCTATTCTATTGATTGTCAATGGTGTAAAGGCGGCATGGCGATATAGGGTCTTTGGTCTAATAGCATGATTCTTGATCAAAATACTTGAGGTGGAGAATTTGATTCTCTCAATATTCCATCATTTATTTTTCTTTTTCTTGTCCAAATTTCATCAACTTCTCAATCATTATATTGTTGATTAAAGGCTAATTGTTCAGGAAACAGCTTTGAAAGCAAGCACAACATATGAACTACACATCCCAATTGTTGGTGTGTTGTTCACAAATGAAGGACTTGATCATTCACATATACAGAAAGGCTCTTTGGCTCTTCACATCAATTAAGATGGGAGAGGTCTAACTAACTTTTTGATGATTTACTGGCAGAAAGTTCCAAATAAGTGGTGTGTCTCTACATGTGAGAACATGTAGAAATTCCATGTGCAAGCAGTGTATGTATAATTTTAGATTGGTGTTTGTTACATAGTGTCATAGCAACTTATTACACTAAAGATGGTGATAGGTACAAGGTTTTGACTTCATTACAATCTAACAAGTCCTATGATATAGAGGTTGCTACTTTTTTTTAGTTAGTTTTCAAATGGTGGTACCATAAACCTTAATGTTATTAAAAGGTATCATATTAAACTATGCAAAAAAATCACTTCAAAATTAAACTTTTAAGAATCTTTTGAGAAATAACTTATTTTTACCTCATATTAGATATGTTCAATTTCAATATAATTGTGTAGTATGTTTCCTCATAAGAAGAGTTTTGTAGCAAACAATTTGAGACACAAAATATAATTGAGTGTAAATATTCCTATGTTTCTTTCTTCTCTTACCAAATGGCTAGAACTAGCTTGTAGCATTGAGAAAATCTACTATCAATTGTTGTGGCAACAGCAACGCTCGAAATTGACCGTATTGTCATGTTTCAACCTAAAGTATTGCATATTGAATGTTTTGAGATTAATAAATTATTTTGCTAATAGAGAGTTAGATTAGATTGATTATTTTATATGTATTTTATCAACTAAAAGCTTAATTTTTTTTTCTAACAATTACATGCTTCATTTAGAGATGATTTTGAATTGACTATGTTTTATTTTGTTATCAAGCTTACATTATCTTTACCATTCCTATAATGAATGAATATATTAGTTAAGTAAGTAAAAATATATAGGAAGAAGCATACATATACTAAATAAATAATATTATTCTCAAAAACATTAATGAAGTTTTTTAGATGTAGATTAGATCTTCAGATTTTTCTAGATGTGCTACATGGTTAAAGAGATTATCTTATAAGTTTTTTGCTTTTAGGAATGAAGATCGGAAGCAATTTATAACTTTGACACTCTAGGCCACATGCCTTGTGGTCTTTAAGAACCTTTCACAAGTTCTTTTTGATAAATAGTATATACATAGGTAAAATTAATACCATTCTTAATCTTATCAACACTTTCTTCATATTCAAATCTTGACTTAAGACTCTTTTGTTTATTTGCATTTGACAGAGGTCATTCTAATTTTCTTATTTATCTCTTCAATTATTTCCACCTAACTTAGAAACATCCAAGTATACTATTTTTTTAGACTTTTGTCATGATTCATGTCTCTCACAATTACAAACAATCAAAAAGTGTCACAAATATGACTAAGATTATAGATGTTCAAGTCTATCACATTTCAATAAAAACGATTATGTAAACAAAAATACTACATATTATCTACTCTGAACAATCATTAAGTACCTTCCAAAAGAACATTTTAAAGTTAAATTCTTCTTCCATCCTATCCGTCTGAGTCAATAATTTGAATTATGTGATTTTAAAATTTCAATCAGGAATTTACATAGTCTTGTGCTTCCTAGGGCGAATATAATGCCCATTGTGTAGAGATCTTATGACAAGGTTTGCCATAGATCCTCGATAATCAGCTTACCGATGGTAATTACTGCAAATAATAATTTTTACAACTTCGACGCATTCGCATTCCTAAGCCCTGTCACACGTTTGGCTGTCGGTGTTCATTATCTCTTACCTTCATCCAACTCCACTGGATTCCAGTATACGCAATATAAAGTACAAAAACTTCGACCCGCAAATTCACTCCTACTCTGCTCCGTCAATTACGCCCAACATGTGCACACCTCAAGGCTACATACATAACTCGAATGGCTCATTTGCTAAGCTCTCTCACCCGAGATGAAGGTGCTGCAACTGCACTCTCGTCCTGTTGCAATACAACTCCAAAAGCTTCCACAAGCTGAATACGCATACTGTGTAAATCGCGCCGATTTCACGGCATGGAAGTCCTGCGAAAATCAACTCGACTTCTTCCCTTCTTGGTTAAAAACTCGATGACTGAACTCCAGGTCGCGCAGAGTATCCAGTACCTCCGCACGTTTCACATCTCCGTGCCAAATGATCTCAGAGGCCACTGAGCGTCGATTCCTTCCTGAGGGCAATCTATCCGTCTGCGCTGGCTCCACACCCCCCTTGCTTCTTTCTCTCCACATTCTCAACGCTGCGATGCAACACTTCGCACCCACCTACGCTTTGAGCGCAGTCCCTGTTGCCCGACCATCTCGAAAAACTAGCCTCCTATTGAAGCTCACAACTCACTTCACATCACATGAGTTGTACTCTTCTCTCACATAACCAAAACGGTGACTCTGCAGCTCGGCTGCAAACCGCAACCCTTCATTCCATTCTCTTCGCCATACAATGCGGATTCCAAAAAAATAGAGCCACCATCACTCCCCTCATCAAGGATTGCGATGCACTGGGATTGTTCAAGAATTCCCTCCATTCATCTTCCAAAATGAACACCATTCTACTAAACAGAGGAACTAGAAGCCTCGCGCGTACAACGTCAGAATCCAACAGCATGAATGGCAAACACAGATCCCAGCCACTCGACCCCAAGTGACGGTCCCCACCCTAAGCTGGGATGGGAGTCCACTGGAAAGGTGAGAAAATAAACAGACACAACCAAAACCAATGAAATGAAACATATTCTACTCTGCATCGCCGGCAGACGGATCATGTGCCGCTTGCCGCACAAACTGTCCACGTACTCGCGGTCTTTGTTCCGCAAGCTTTTTCCTGCTTTGATAGCGCACCTGAATACAACACATCACCACAGCTTTATCGTCAGTGCACCATCCCACCGCAATACCTCTCCTACCTACCACACATCCTCTTTTCTCACCACATACACTCGCTCCATGGTGCCCGTCAGATGCGACCGCGGCCCAAATGCAACTCGCCTGAACCTGAACCGCCAAACAACCAAGCTGCCGATACTCCGGTATATTCCATGTGCCAACGTCCATCCAACTCATCACCACACGGAATCTCAAGAAAAGGCATGCAAAGCCGTACCTTCTTCTCAAAGCACCGCTCCTTTCTCTTCTGCCTGAACTTGTTCAAGGCAGCCTCTCGTCTGGCAAAACGTATCTGTTCCGTGCACAACCCGTTGCCCCCGCTCACCCCATCCATTGCTGGATCCGTCCCACCCACTCCATTATTCCCGCTGTTGGCGTTCGCCATCGGGGTCACGCCAAGTCCGTTCTGTCCATTGTTCACGCCGGTATTGCTTCCCGAAGCGCTTCCGTTCATGGACCCGTTCCCGTTCCCCGTGCTTCCGTACCCGTTTCTGCTCCCGCTTTGACCATCCACCCCGGTCGACCCACACCGTGGAGCCCCCGACATGGGAGTGATCACCGACTGTTGTTGCTCGTCTTGCACTCCTGCAGTTCCAGATGGTTGCCCGCCGTCCCCGTGGTGGTGGTGGTGGTGATGGTGGTGGTGATGCTGATTGCCTTGGTGGTGGTGAGTGTGTTGGTGGCTCGGTCCAGCTTGGGAGTGATGCCCAGAACAGGGATTCTGTTCTTGAAATGCGGGTGTTTGACTGTATACGTCCACCCTCTCTCCCATGTGTCGGGCCGACGCCGCCATCCACGCGCCCGCGTGCGCATAATACATCGGGTGCATGGCCGGACCATACGCTCCACCCATGCCGTCGTAAGCCAGCATCCCAGGCGGTGGGATTGGGATCGCTATCGGCATTCCAGGTGCTATCATTGCCTCCTCCGCGCTCTGCCTTGCACTGCCGTACCCATCCGCTCCGCCGCCGTCCTGCCCTCCCGCTGCTTCCGCGCTCTGGGGATGCAGAGGAGGGGGCGTCGTTCCCTCCGCGCTCCCTTTCGACGACCCACAACGCTCCATTCCCATCCCCAGACGAAGAGATCCTCCGGACGTGCCGCCAGACATGCCGTACACTCCGTATCCACCAGACATCGGATACCCGCCCACAGGAAGTGAACTCCCGGGCTGGTGACATTGTTGTATGATGGTTCCTCCGCTGCCATACCTGAAACGGGTTGCCACAACACAGTGCAATACCCGTCACTTCAAAGCGTCCAGAACAAACAAACACAAACACCTCCCGCTCATGCAATCCACCAAGCTCTCACCATCGGCCAAGCTCAATATCGCACTTCACTAACTGCACACCCAGCAATGCCCAAAACTACAGCTCTCATCAGTGCAACCATAATGTGTCTGAACTGCACCTAGAGAAGGCCGACCCTCCGGAGTGCCGCAGGGGTTGACGCTCTTCTGTATCTCCATCGTTGTCCACGGCCGATCGAGGCCGTTTCAAACTCAACTCCAGCATAAAACCGGAGTCTGACCCGGAGTGGTCTTTCGGACTGCTCCTCCCCCGCTGATCCAGTTCTCCGTCATCGTTCTCACTCCCTTCAGCTTGCTCTGCACCCTGCGTCTGTGGCTGACAAGCTATACCATTTATCAGGTCCACGGCCTTCGGAGAAGACTCCTCGGCAGTTCCATCTTTTCCGCTGGTTGATGGACTCTCACCGTTGTCGTCGCCGGGTGATGGCCCTGCATCTTGCATCACGCATGCATCATCCTCGTCTTGCTGTCGCCCAACATCCGGCTGCTGATCAAGCTTTGCGGTATCACAAGTAGACCGACGAGTTGCCATCTCCAAGTCATGCCCCATCTCTTCATCTGCCACACATACCACATGTAAGCATCCCAGAATCCTCACACTTCCTGAAACACGCCTGGACATCCATTACCACCGCGCCAGGTTATCCCAAATATTTCATCCCCACATCCCGTCCCTCGTCAGCTATGCAACAGGTGACCCTTGACACTAGTCAGTCCTAACCCCGCAACTTACCCAGGTTGGCACCCATCCCTTGAGAAGTCGCTTGCCCCTCCTCGTCTCCATCTGCAGCTGCCGGTGCTGCGTTGTTTCTCGGCACCTGTACGGGTTGCATACAAGCCTGCATCCATTACTCTCAAAGTCAGATAATCCTCTTGCACACAACCAGTTATGGAGACTCGCTATCCGCAAACCAACCGTGTCTAAAAGACAATCAATATCCTCAGCGACGACAACGGCACGCGTGCATTCACATCACGGCTTCACTTACTTGATTGCCACTGCCATTGTCACTCCCACCCTGAGCATTCAGCCGGCTGCTCCCATTGTCATTCCCATCGCTGCTGCCGTTCCCATCATTGCTTCCACTGGGATTGTCATCCGCCTCAACTCCACGACTCTGAGGCCTGGCTACTTCGCCAGTCTGGCTGCCACTCCCACTTCTGCTTCCACTCGACTGTTCCAATCCACAGATCACAAGTCACGCACCGTGTGTACACTCTATGCCGCCCTAAACAACGTTCCTCTCAGCACACCATCATTCGCGGTGTCACACAATCCTCTACAATTACGATATTAATGCACATCGTGGGGTACCATCAGCATGGTTTCCACAACCAACTTCCGGGCCAATGCAGAGGCAAGTACCACATGCTGCGAAGTAGGTCATTCTGCCGCACTGAATGGTACTGTAAGCAGACAAAAGCATCACTTACGCTGCGGCACTTCCTCCACACGTGTTGCCATAGATTCCTCAACTCGTTCTTCCTCACGGGTTTCACGAGATAGTCGCACGCTCCTTTCGAGATGCAGCGGAACACAATGTCCAGGCTGTCGTAGGACGACATGACTGCATCCAACATATAGCTCAGTTCACCTGTACGCATGCGAACATCTCGAGAGAAACATCAAACCCACTCTCGTGGCCGAGACACAACGCGCCCGGGCTGGCATGCGAAACTATGAGATACTGGGTGACATGAGCTTTCTCAACCTCCGCTGACGCGCTGTGCAGCATCTTGCTGAGGTGAAAGGGGATTGAGACTTACTGACAATAGGAACTCTCTTGCAAGCCTCCCGTTTCATCATCTTCGACAGAAGCCCAACTCCGGACAGACATGGCATCACCACGTCCGTCAACACCAAGTCGAAATTGCTGTTCGCGTCTTCCAGCATACCCCAAGCAATCGACCCATTCGCAACCGCAGTGACTGGGACAGGCACAAACCTTCCAGTTCAGGTCTAGGTTCCACATTCAAAAGCAACGACAACATGGTAAACTTTGGACACTTCCGACCAGCGAAGTGCGGCTCAATTCGCCTCTACATCGGTCCTGGCTTCGAAATACTCACTCAACAACAATCTTTACGAGACAGGCAACCGTTTAATGTCTGCTACAAGGACAGCACTACACTGGAATCATCCGATATCATGTTCTATGCATAAGTTACAATTTGATATAACAAACAAACACATCGTCAACTCATGAATTCACTAGAGATTCAGAGTGATTCTCAACAACAAACGTTTTTAATTAAACGAGTCCATCGATATATGAAATCATTTGATCAGTTCTCTTTTCTAGTATTTTAAATAACTCACGCACACACACACACACATGTCGACTGGAATCAGGAAGAATAACGACCTTCACAATCACAATTACGAAGTAGAGCTCCCACCACGTGCCTTGTTGCGTCATCATCCTCCACCAGTAAAACATTCAAACTCCGTTGCAGCAAGAAGCTTTCCCAGCCACCTCCACCCTGAGTTTTTGTTATCAAATCACCCCCATGCTGCTGCTGCTCTTTCATCCGAGCTATTCCCTGTGACCTCGCCTTGTCGCGCGCAACAGCAGCCACAGCGTCTCCTTCTTCATAGTGATCTTCGGCGCTATCGTCTCTGCGTCCATCGTCGTCCGACTCCGATGTTCGCAGCACGTCGTTCCCTGGGAACTGGTGATCCAACTCTCTCCTTATCTGCTCTGCAATGTCCTTAAGATCTTCCCGTGTCTTCAGAACAGAAACTGCTGAACGGCCGGCCACGTTGCGCCCCTTCTCCAGCCTCGCGCCGTTCTCACTGTCCTCTGCGACTTTACTACCAACCTGCTCTCTACCCCTATCTACTTCCTTGTGCGCCTTGTACCCACCCTTAATCCTCCATTCTGCACCCACCGGAGCTTCCACATTGAGCTCAGCGCATGCGGTCCCCCCAGCCAACAGCGGCCGTAGAGGCCTCGACTCCGGCTCAGCCTTACACGAATCCCCAGTCATAAAGTGAACTCCACTCCTCCTACACCTGCTGTTTGGTTACACGGCCCTCCACCTGCTCCTCCACAAGCTCTACCCTTCAGATCCCTGCCCAACGCTCAATCTATATCTCGGAACTCCGGGGGGTCTCCGTCGCAGTTCGCAAGACATTCGCTACGACTCGTGACGAAATCGTATGACCTCTTGGCCACTCTCAACTGTTCACACAACCATGTCCACACGGCACCTCCATGTTAACACTTCATGCCACACTTGCTCTACACATATACCATCGTGCATATACTCATTATCATACAACGGCGCCTCAACACAGGTCGTACAACTCTATAAGATGCTCCAGACATGTCAAATGGTTCACGCATGCTTCATTTGGTCTACAGCCGCAGCGTCCACGAGTTCCAGATACATAAGTCACACAAGCGACGCAATCTCGGGCCTCAACTTTGAAGATCACATCCCAGGATACATATAGATGCACGAAAAGCTCGACTTGAAACATCAGATGGTCGTTCTGACCTGTGCCCCGCCAGCAAAACACTCGCTCACCGCTCCCACTTCTTCGAAATTACAAAGATACCCACTCGGAAATCGTGAATCACACCATCGTGCTACGGAAATGCTATCATATTTGGCTTTGGGAATCAAAGGCCCAAGACAGCATACCTCACAGAAGCACCGACGAATGCAGTTCACAGTTAATCAAACAACATGGACATATGAAAAATTAGATACACATCAGCGAACACGAGCGGGCTCTCCACCAAACACGCATACACCCTTCTCGCGCTGATCACTAAAACAGCTGTCCCAAAGTGCGGCAACACCCCGAGCCGCACAGACAGCGTCGAATTATGCCCTGCCCGACACCACTTTCGCTGCTTCGGACAGAATCTGAAACGGAGGACCTCAGCGCAACAAACGGATACCGTGCGGCACACTCAAATCTCAACCGATTCGACCCTTGGTTTCGACGATGCTACAGTCAGCTGAGCACAAGCACGCGAGAGAGCATCACACTGCAACGACGAGAAAACCTAATCACATACGACAAACGGAATGTTGTGCAAGAGAGCGCGGCTGTGGCGGCAATGCGGGGAGCAGGGGGCAGTGCAGGCAGGACCACAGAAACGGGCGAGGGCGGATGGAAGCGGTTATAGGATGTGATCACGTGGCACGCTGGAGTGCGCAAATTTGATTGTGATCCTATAGCCGCATCCATAGGGAGGAGCAGATACAGATTTACCCCCAGTCGCCTAAATCCGCCCTCGAGGTAGCGAAATATCTGCCCCCCGGCCCTCGGCTCCTGAGAGCCCAGCAAATGATTTGCCCAGCTGGCCCCGCTGGGACACGCTGGGCCAATGGAGCTGGTTCCCTTCGGGTCCGCGCTGGCTCTCGTTCTGCCCCCTCGCCCCCTTTCTTTTTCAGCCAACGTCAGATGCCCCCATCGCTGGTAATTGGGTCCTTGACTGGATGAACTATCCGATGAACAAACAGAGAGAAATTCAGGCGTTTTATCATTCATCATCCCTTTCCCTTCACCCCCTGGGCAGCTTGCTAACCTGCCTTGGCCATTGCTTCGGATTTGGTTGTGATGAGGATATGGCGTATCTTTTTAATGAGCGTTTTGTCTCTTGTTTAATGTGCTTTTTGGCTTTGAAGACTTACTTTGAACATGGAAATGAGATTGTTTGCAGTTTGAATGTGGGTCTTTCCATTTCATAATCCTTACCACCCGAATTCTTCTACAAAATCACACACACATTCTAAGATATCCAGTTTGAGTACTATCCCTCCAACCAGATTTTCAGCGGTGTACACATCTATTAACTCGATGGTATATGGTGAAGAGCATTTTCGAATAGTTCATTCTGGTGGTAAAAATATTGAAATGAAATTTATTGACATGACTTGGAGAGACTTGATGTTCACGAACACACTTACAAAATTTCTGCTCTAGAATATCTTGCCATATTTTTTCAGAGTAAGATTTTTTTTACAAGACGTGCTGAATAGGAAAAAATGTTGAGGACATGCACCCATCATCAGCTTTGTAAGTGCGGTTTCCATGCGGGTTGTTGAACAACATGAAATTTATTGTGTTCTCAGAAAAATAACATATGTTGTTTTGGATTTGTTGTTGGTTTTTAGTACATAGTGATTGCAAGCAGACAAGGTATTCTATATGTTAACGAATATGTTAACATTGATTAAAAAAATTAAGGTGTAGATCTGGGGTTGAAGATTGTGTATCGATAAACTGTGTTGAAAAAAGATCATACTGACACGGTTTTCTGGATTAATCTTAAATATATAAAGATCGGGTAGAGGCAATGATCCCGAGAGCTCAATTTATATTTCAGGTCAAGGAATTACCATAGTTTCTTCAAAAGTCATCTTTTAGCACATGGTAAACTAGTGGACTCTCATAGGTAAGAAGAAGAAGACGAAACGGAGGTGGAAGAAGACGACGAGAAGGAGAGCGACGCAGAAGATGGCAACGAAAAGGAGAAATACGAAAGGACACGATGTGGAAATGCAAATCATAGAACGGGAAATAGAAACGGAGGCACGGAAAAGCGGAGTGATGCGGAAATGCTCAGATTGTGAAGAAGGTGTGGGTACCACCATCGTCGCCATGGATGTCACAGAGAGGAAGCACCCAACCCCCCGCCCACAGCTTCGATCTACACTGCAGAGAGTTTGACAGGGACGATCGATCGATGGACCCAGCCCCGCTGCTTTTCCCCAAGCCCTTTCCGCACGCTTCGTCACTTGTTCGCAGGGGCGGCTCTTTTGGGCACGACCTCGCAGAATCGGAGAACCATCCATGAGGGTGGGTCGTCATGTGGTTGGAGCACCGCGTGATGGCGAGTTCGGCTGGACAGTGCCTCTGCTGCTGCATCTGCTGACTTTCATGGCAGGCATGGCATCTTCAGCCATCGCGACGCCGCCCAGTTGCTCGGGGTTGTCGGCTTCTGGCGCTGGGGGACGAGGATCGGGTTGCTTCCAGGAGGAAGTAGTTTGGTCGCAAGCGAAGTTGCAATGTCGGCTGGATTGCGGGAGCACTAGCGCTGTTCGAAGTGGTGTTGGGATCGGAGCCCAATTCTTCCTGAAATGTAGCAGAGATTTTTTTCCCGTGTCCAGCTTGGACAATGGTGGTGGGCGAGCCGGTCGTGTGGTGGATAGTGTAGCAGTAGCGTGCGCTGCTTTTGAGAGGAGCGGAGGAAATGGGGCACAGAGTGACCACGAGTTGGGGGAGAAAAGCTCCGGAGAAGAGTCTGCTTTGGCTATTCAATTCGAGGGTGGTCAGGATCCGCCTACCATAGTGTACGCTCCCAATCGAAGGATAGTTTCGAGTGAGATGGTTTTTTCTCTTTTAATTATTTCTTTTTCTTCTTATTCTTTTTACGAACTTCCAAAATGATGATGTTTCTGGTGAAATGCTTCTTGGGTTTGTTGCCGGCAGCCTGTGATTGAGAACAAAGAAACATGAGGGTTGGATGCAGTTGGTGATTTGCATGGAGATTTTGAGAGAGCACAGGAGGCTCTGGAGCTTGCTGGAGTTTTGAGTAAAGATGGAAAACATCGGTGGACTGGAGGCACTACGGTAGCTGAATTTCTTTCCAAACCTATTTGTTTTCAAAATTAGGCTTTTTCTGTGCCGTGATTTGATCAAACGCTAAATTAGGAGTCTTGGGCAATGCTGATTTGCTCTTTGAAGTCTTTTCGACGACGAACTTATGGACTTTAGTGGCCGCAGATTTTGGTGCAAATTGGCGATGTGCTTGATAGAGGAGAGGATGAGATCGCCATCTTGTCTCTTTTAGCATTGCTGGGCAGGGAAGCCCGCAGCAAGGGTGGGGCTGTCTTTCAGGTTCATTTTAATTGCTTATTCATTGATTTATCCGTAAAGCCACATTATCCTATCATATTTTTACTTGAATCATATTAACGTTACTTGATATGAAGAGCCCTCTTTGAGTCCGAGTTATGACTGCTTTTGCCAATTCTGAGTCGTTCTTGGTCGGACTTTACTTGCAGTTACTTGGCAATCATGAGGCGATGAACGTAGCTGGTGATTTCCGATACGTTGCTCCTGGTGGCTTTTTAGAAGCAGAGGTATTTGCGGAATACTGCGAAGAAGATCATGGTGGAAATTGGGATGCAGCTTTTGAGGTTTGGCATGAAGCTCGTCAAAAATTCAAGAAACGCCAAGGAGTCGAATTTTCTGGCTGGTTACCTATGTTTAATCCCATCAAAGTAAAGTGAATGAATCTTCAATTTCATCTTTTCCAGGGAAACTACAGTTTATTTCAGAATGTGTTCATAGTTTTAGTGGGTTGCACTCAGATTTGCAAACGCGACTATTTTAACCACGACAATTTATTTTTTGTTGAAACAATGTATTCGGCTTTTCTGTAAATAGTAGTTCACTATCATGTCATCAGTGAAGGAGTGACGCGTCTTTCGCTAACATGCGCAGATGCAAAATGCAGTCACGGTAAGAACGAAACTTTTGTCTCCGGGAGGACCATTGGCAACGCACTTGGCTACTCATGGGGTCGTACTGAAAGTGAACGATTGGCTCTTCGCGCACGGAGGTGTACTGCCTTACCATGGTGAGCAATGCTGATGTAATCATAGTTGTGTGTGTCTTTATATTTTTATTTGTTCAGGAGCACCATCAAGTATCATACAGATCTGGTGTCGAAATTTCGATTTAGGCTTTACATTCATAGTGACACCTCTTCCTTCGTTCCTTTAGTCATGATCAGTGTGCAAGCCATGTTCTTCTGTCATTGTGGCATCTGACTAAGTCTTTGTAGAGTCACTTGTATTGGATGCACTGAAGGTCTTGAATGAGCACGGTCTACGTCGTACAAAATTTGATTTTTCAGTATTTGATGGGTCATGAGAGCTGCTTTCCAATGGCTTCATTTTCTGATTGTTTCTGGTTGTTTCTGGTTGTTTGTAGTGGACTATGGATTGGAGAGAATGAATCGGGAAGTAAGCTTGTGGATACAGAAGGAAAATAATAGGTTGGGACAACCCGCTCATATGCCTTTTGTTGCCGTCAAAGGTTACGACAGTGTAGTGTGGAGCAGGTTGTACTCTAAGGAGAACTTTGATAGACCTCAAGAGAGAATTCAGGTATCCAATCTTGTGCTCGGTGCTCGGTGCTCGGCAATATTGCAGTGCTTTCTGTTATTTTTGTGATTTTTTATTGGTATTTTTCTGGATTTGGGAGCTCAAACATTGGGTTGGCGAGATTTTCTGAAATAGGTGTATATGCCCTGTTCTTGTTTGAACTGCTGGAACTATATGTGCATGATATTTTCAAACCAATGTTCCTACCAACTTGCTGAAAGTTCTGGCTACAAATTGAACTAGTACCCTTTGAAATCCAGAAAATCTCCATTGGATTCTTCACTTTCTCAAACTTATGCAGAGTTTTCGAACTGACAATCTGCCTGTTTTTTAAGTAGCAACTGGTCCAATCATTTTTGCTTTTCTAATGGACAAACCTGAGTGTGGCACTGATTATCTCGGAAATCTTTACTTAGGGCTCATTATGAACATTGCTTCATTGTTTTTCGTAATTCAGGCATGTGGAACACTAGCAGCAGCATTGTCTGCAACTAATTCGCGAGGCCTAGTTGTCGGTCACACTCCACAAACAATTGGTGGCAACAGGTATTCTCAAATCTCCCATCTTGTGAATATAGATCATGTTTGTTCTTAAAAAAATCCAGTACTTGCAGTTGTTAACATGCAATACATACTTAATTATGAGTTCTCAAGTACAGGCGATTACTGAAGTATCTCTTAAGAACCTATTATTGCTTTCAAAAGTGTTCGTAAATGATGCACTAGAGTGGCTCGCATTTGTCGGGTGTCTTGAAATAAGAAGACCTTTGAACTTCAGCACATTCTCTTGTTCTTGTTTTCGTTTCCTCTTTACTGCACCGGCATTGATTGATTTACGAATTCTTGAACATTGATTGAATTACTGGTGTTATTCTTGTTTGCATATGTAGCAAATGCGATGGACGTGTTTGGCGAATAGACGTTGGCATGTCTAGTGGAGTCCTACATGCTCTTCCCGAGGTAAAGTGATTGCTTCTTCCCTTTTACTAGCTGTATGTAGCACGTTTTCCTGCTCATAGCAATGGCAATGAACCTCGAAGCAAGTTAAATTGCTGAGGTAGTGACCAAGGATTCCACTTAAATGCTCAAATGCAATGTTTGTAAATTAATGGTTGATAGAATTAACTGGGTCGATTTTTGTACGGTTGAGGAACCTATTACCAGCTTTAAACATATTCTTCTAACAGATTCATAAATGGAACTTTCTCAATGTAGGTTCTAGAAATTGTTGATGACAAAGTGAGGATTTTGTGCGCGAGGGAGGAGTTCCACCCGAATGGGGAAGAGCCTTCAGAAGTATCACGATGGGAAGGCAAGATGAAAATGCACGATCATAGAACCTGATGCATTTTCGTTAATTTTCAAGCAAACAAAGCTCGTGGTTGCATCAAAGGCCTCTGTTAGCAAGCCCCTTACTCATTAAATCACAGGTTTTAGGGTTTAGGGGATGCCCCATCGGAGTAGTGCATGGGAATGAAATTCCTGATGTTATGGAACATTTTGTATCATACAATGATGTGTAATAGAGTTTTTATTTTTGTTTTTTGTTTTGTTGCGTCTTTTCTTTTGGTTATTAATTCTATTTAGTTCATTCAGGATCAGCCATACCAGCTCTCCCCGAAGCAAAACCACGTATCTCCTTTTCAAAGCCGTGGTTGTCGGTATTGAGACTTCGCCTGTGTAACTCTAATCACCTTAATAAAACTCGAAACCCGAAGCTGTGAGCAGTTGTGGTTTTACTGTTATTTCATCTTTTTTCCAGTACGTGCCTTGCATGTGAGATCAGTGAGAATGCTAAGTGTGGATAAGATCACATTCAGCTTCCATGCAGCTGGCTTTGATTTTGCACTTGCTATTCATGACATCTCTGTGTACTCAAGCTCTACAGTGGTATACTACTCACTTCCACCAGTTTGCAGGTAATGATCTTGGAGGCTTCCAAATGCACTGTTGTTTTACAATAAAACTTTTGGATAAAGTGAATCTGAACTTCTAACGTTCCATTCTCTTGAGTGTGTATACATATGGGAAAGATTAAATCAACACTTTGTAATGTTAAATTGTCCCAAAGCCCCCCTTAGTTGCAGTAAACAGCCCAAGGAGATTGATTTTCTAACCAAGGAGGTTAGGATCTTGTTGTCACTTTTGTTTCAAAATTTGGGCATGAAATATGTGTTCTAAATCATATTAGTGTATGCCAAACAAGCAATCAGTGGGAATTTTTTTTGAGTGCGATTGTCCATTGACTTCACAACTTTTTTTCTTTTTCCAAACCCAAGAAGTAGTTACACAGATTGAATCATTGGAATAAAGTGGGTAGATAAAAGATTTAGGTGGGTTGATTTATCATTCCCTTAAAAATATGTGTGTGTATATATATAGATATGTATATGATATTCTCCTTCTTAATTAATATCATCTATTGTAACAAATAATATTAATTATTAGAGGTTATTAAATACCAAAGGTGGTGCACTTAAGGTAGGACAAAAATATATTCTTGCTGGGCCATACAATCAAGGTTAGTCACTTTTGATGTTGTGACCATGTTGTTTCCGCAACCACATGACCTTCCTTTCTCCAATCTTGTATAGCCAAGTGGCTCTACTGACCATGCGACTTTTGTTAATTACCTAGACTAATTAATAAACTATTATAAAAATTAATTAATTCATAGAACTTAGAGGTCAATAATTATTTACCATGGAATAAATTTAGTTCTCAAGATTTTAGTTAATTATAGAGATTGTTGGTTTTTGGAAGATTAATTAATGGAGAAAGCACACTATTTATATAAATATAAATATATATATATATATATATGCAATGTGGTTTTTGTTATAGTGCAAGGTTTATTCATCATGCAACTGTAATATTTAAGTTTTAAAAGAAAAAATAGTAATATATTTAAAAATTTACATGAATGTTGTAGTAAAATTTAATTATATTAGCTATATAGTAATTTTTTTATTTTTTATTCAGTTCGAATACACATTATTAATTACTCAATATATCTATATCTATATATTTTTATATCATAATATAATCATCTAAGAATTCTAATATTAATATGTCTTTAGTTTTTATTAAAAAAAAAATCAACTAATATTTTTATTAATAAAATATTTATTAAATATATATATATATATATATATATATATATATTTCGAATTATTAACTTTATTGCCATATTTTCATATTTGATATTAAATTAGTTTAGAAAGACATTGAAAGAGTTTAAATTGAATTTTATAAATTGTTAAGTAGATATCTTTGTTTAATTGCATAAAAATCCTTGTACCATATATACAATCATAAAATATAATTTTTTTATTTTTTATTTTAAATAACATTTAAAAAATATAAAACATAAAACCAATAAATAATGATAGTAACAAAACACAATATTTTGTATTCTATAAGTCCAAAAATTAATTTGGAAAATATTTGCAAAGATAAAAGAATTGAAGTTTGAGATAATATGGAGCCATGGAATATAGATAAATAAGGGTATTAAAAATTTAATTAAATTAATAAATATAAAAAAAATTATATTTAAAGAATCACAATTTAAAATCAAAACTAGTTATTTTTTGCAAAGGTGTGTATGCAAAAATATGTGGCACATGGGGTGTTTATACATTAAAATGGAGGTATCTACCTAGTGATTCTCTAATTTTATCACAATAGTGACAATAATTTATATTACTTATACAATTTTAAAGAATTTGAACTTGTTCTTAAACAATGTTGAATGTTTAAGGAAGTCGTTATACTTGAGCAACAAGGTGAGAGGTTGCAATTTTTTAATCTTTTCATTGGTTGAAGTTAAAATAAATTACTAAGTTGGATTTATAATTAGAAAAATTAATCTTTATGTCCTCAAAAGAAAAGATAAAGTAGAATATTTATTTTTAACTTTTTTTATTTTTTTAATTTTTCTAAATGGCATAAATAGTGTTGTTTCTTGGGATTTTTTTTAGATCCATCTTTCAACATGGTTTTTATTAAGTACTAAAAAGATGTGTTTGAGAATTATTAAAAAACCATTATAAAATAAAATCTGAACTTTATACACTTCTTATAATTATCAAAATGATGATATAAGTTAACATATTTATAATTTTAATAAAATATATTATAGTATATGTAGGTCTCTTTCTAATTTTACACTATGTTTAAAGATCAAGGCTTGTAAAGAAGGATTGGTTTTTTACTAAATTAGAAAACTTGATAAGACTTTTAAACCATGACCTTTCAAAATCGTTTTATAGGTATAAAATCTTCTTTAGTCCTAGAGTGGAAATTGTATGTAAAATATTTGAGATTTATTTGTAATTATCTTGCAATACTATATTATTGGATCTTTCTTAAAAAAAAAAGTTTTTATTAAAGAAGCCAAAGGTAAAAAATAATCTTTTGATGGAGTATTATATGCAAAATAGTATTGGAACTTTTTATAATATAAAAGAATGCTATATATATATATATATATATATATATATGTATTTTATTACTTTATTACTTTATTAATAATCTAGAAATTATAAAAAATCAATATATTAAACTATTATTTAAAATTAATATTAATTTTTAAAATTTTATGCAACAACCATCAAATCTATACTAAGATATACATTATCATTCTAAAGTACTCTTTTAGGAGGTCTTTATATATATTAAGATATATATTATCATTGAAAATTATTCTTTTGTCAAAGACAAGAACTCGATGAAAAAACAATTCAGACAAGTGAACCTTCACTCAAAGAGAGGTAACAAAATATATATATAAACAAGTATATATATTGAAAGAGAAACTAGAATGGCTATTGCCAAAAGACAAGAAAACTAGAGACCCTTAAAATTAGACTAGAAGCAAGAAAGGAGTTGACAAGAGTGAAGAAGCCTTCACTCTTGTCTCTATATATACTATCTAAGTAGGGGCTACGTGGCACCGTTCTATAGGACCTCCAATATGTGCTGACTTTGTAGGACACATGCCTTGACTTACAAGGCAAGTTCTTCTACGTATGGGCCACATAGTTAGCTTGATCTTCAAGCTAACAACATATGTGGCACATGGCTAACTTGTTGACCACGTTTCTAATCCAAAAAGTCAATTAAAGACACCTATGAAGTCAAAGCAGTATCTATGAAGCTTCTAAGAAGCTTTTATATTAAATACTATAGAATTAACTTACTTTTATCTATTTTTACTTACTTCTACCTATTTGTATATGTAATTACTAGCTTACATGATTATGTCCGTGACATTATCCTCCCTTCTAGGGACGAGTTCCACGAGGAGCGGTCATCATACGTTGAGAAAATCTATGATGGGACGAATTGTATTCGCCACATACTCTGATCTTTGTTCTCTTCGAAGATGATTGATAGGGCCTCTCAATCATCGATAGTATCCCATACCAGGGCAAGAAAACCACCCAGTTATTTGATCATTGTTGAAGCCTTCGTAACTTCCTTCAAATAGAATATTTGGAACACCATCAGGAGTTGTTCCTACCTCTAGCAAAATCACCAAACATTGGGAGTCCCTTCCCAAATCATGATACCAAACGCGTTGTATCTCGCCATCTATTCAAAGAAGAACATGTCGTTCTTGAAGATCTTCATCTCAATTGCGTCATCTTAAAGGTTGTGACAATCGTAATGTCTCGTCCGGTAGGTCAGCAAATGAAGGCTCTTGAGTCGAATCCGCTAGTTGTTGGTTCTCCATTTTCTAAGCGTCACTACTACAAAGAGGCTACGAACAAGAATTGAAAGTAGAATGTTATCTTGTTTAGATGTTGTTTCTTTTATAAAGAAAGTTTTCATCTTGATTTTGATGGATGTCATCGATGAAAAGCCTCGACCGCCTTTGCTGCATTTCGAAGATTCTTTATTAGCTCCTATGTGCATTAACTAATATCATATCCGTGCCAATGGACAAGATATTCTAATTTATTTTGGCGCCGCCTCGAATCTAAGACTTCTTCTACTTCAAACTCTTCATTATTGTCCACTTCTATAGGAGGAAGTGGAGTTTGTCGTCTTCTTGGTATGTCCACTGTCTTGTATGGTTTAAGAAGAGACACGTGGAATACTGGATGGATTTTCATTGATTCCGGTAGATGTAAACGATATGCAACTGGATTGATTTGTGCAGAAATAGAAAATAGTCCCAGTCTTCGATAGTCCAACTTGTCACAAGAATGAGTGGTCTTGATATTGCGACGAAGTAGCCATACCTTATCACCCAAGACAAATGATGGTTGTTTCTTTTGATAGACATCCGCATTGACATTTTGTTGTTCTTGAGCTTCTTTTAACTACGCCTTCATCGTTGCATGTAGCTCTGATAAATGAATTGCCAAATCTTTCACAGCAGGATTATCAACTTTTGAAAAGTCAAAAGTATCAAGTCGTGGATGATAACCATAATTAGCAAAGAAAGGTGTTTATTTTATAGAAGAATGTACCGTGTTATTGTAAGCAAACTCTGCCAATGGCAAAAGAGTTGTCCAATCATCTTGTTGGTAATTAATGG